ACTGCAGCTACTAAGATCTGCCAAATTAATAAAAGGATCTGAAATCCTTTATCCTTTAAGATTAGCTCCTATTTCCAGGCTGTCATTGCACAAAATTGCTAGGATTTGATTTTAGAACAATTTGCTGAATAAAAGCTGTATCTACATGGATGATACAAAAGTCTGAGGCAACTTTGTCTATAGCATTTAGGCGAACTATAAAAGGATGAAGCCTCTAGGTTTCTACATTGGCAAGCAATGTTTTTCTTTTATTTTTTGCCTCCTTTTCTTTTTTAAAAGGTCATCCTGCCTTTACTGAAGCAGTGAAAGTGAGCTTAATTATTTTCCCTATTGAGAATAGTATATAACTATTTAAAACATAATTAACAATGGGATGTCAGTCAGTGGTTGTACTTTTTTGCTAGTTTTTATGCCTGGGGAGTTTCAGTGCTCCCAATTAGCTTTAATGGGAGCACTGTGCTAGTTATCAAATTGACAGTCATGACCTACCCAGCGGAAGCAACCATAAAACAATTTGGAGAACAAAGATGAATGGCAAACATCTCACCACAAATGGATGCCAAATATTATGTATTCTGGTTTTGTATGATAGGATTACAAATGATGTCCTGTTGCATCCAAAATGCTCAAAAATAAAGGTCTTGCTCTTGTAATCAGGTGATTATAAGGAAGGGTGTTGAAAGGACCTTTACCTTCTGCCTGTCTCTTTGCTCTCCTAGATGACCTTTGAATAGGTGAAATTGCTGTAACTACAAGATAATCTCATCAATGATGGTTTGCCATCTCCTTTTTGACATCCATTTCCTTCTTCTGTTTGTAAATTGGGTATCTCCCATGCATGTACATGTATGTGTATGTATATTGAGTGATAGAGAAATAAAGGTCCTAAATAAACAAAATGAATTATTTTAGGTCAATGTCGAACTGAAATTGAAAGAATTGAAGATGCACAAAGGGCAGATTTTATGCAAGGCATCTGCAGTTCAGATAATTAACGAACATGCATGTTTATCTTCCAGCAGCAGCAGAGTAGGCCATCCATAATCTAGTTGGTCCCTGATTTTTTTTTTTTTTTTGCAGCCTCCAATGCACCTATTTTCCTTTAAAAAAAATCAAACATCAAAAAATCAAAACCAAAAATCAGTTTTCTCTGCTTCTGTGCTATCACCACATCATTGCCATTCCCTTGCAAGCTTTGGAAGCATTTTTTTTTATTATTATATGATCTTAGGAACAAGAAGAGTATCCATTTCTAGTCAAAGCCACAGGTAATTCAGCTGCTTAAGGTCTAATAAGCTAATGGTATTGCACAGCCATGTATTAATGATTAAACTCTGTAAAGGATTATCAATGTTTAATGTCAGGAATTTATACTTAAGCAAGGTGGCTCCAGTCAATTATTTGGAGATTCTTTCTATCACCACTCCCCACCCCTGCCCAACATCAAAACCTACCTCATACAGCCAAAGGGCTTTCATAGTCAGGGCAAGGGAATTCTGCTTGTTCCAGTCCAGTTACACATGGATTAACCTGATACTACCTATTATAGTTTATTGCTGCTGAAGAGACACTTGATATAATGGATCTCCAGTGAGAAGCTACAAGGTCCTTTGACATTTTTTAAAAATATTAATCATATTTTCCTTATGGATAAATAGGATTTGTAAATAACTTCCTGCCAAGGTTTGAGCTTTTGGAATGTTGTTTGTTTAACTTGTGGAAGCTTTTGCAATAACTGGAAAGACGTTAAGGACTAAGAATTTAAGTATAAGCAACCAAATTTGCTTGCCCCTCTAAAGATCATACCACAGTTTGATGATAGGTTATGAAAGGAAATTTAAATGTGAAATGGTATGGTTTAGACCAGGTTTCCCAACCAGCTTCTCTCCAGAGGTGTTTGATTACAGCTTCTAGAAATCTAAAACAGCCCAGCCTAACACAATAAAAAAAAGCAAACAACTAGAGAAAGATAGTTTAGAAGGGAAAAGGTGAACTAAACTGTTGTAAAACTTTATAGATATAATATCTAGGAATTAATTTGACATTTGTGGTGGACTTAACATAAATAGCTTTTTATTTATTTTTAAAGTAGCACATCAAGGCAGATAAAATTAAAGTATCCTACCTTTTAATATAGAATTGCTATTCTGTTCAGAAATGTTTCTACCTAAAGGCTTACAATATTGGCAGAGTCAGTACATGCATTCTCATTAGCTCAGTCAAGCCCTCTAGAAATAAACTGAACAACTAAGTCAGAGGCCAACTAGTTCATCAATGTGTGTGTGAGATGGCATCCCAGGAAGTCTGTCCATTCAGCCTGAACCCCAAAAGATGATTGTAACCTTTTGTTGTGGTTCCAGATTAACTAGGGTCTCCATGTATATAGACCTACCTGAGAAAGCCTACTTTCTTCAGGCATTCATGTTGAATGTACATTCGGTACAGTAGCACTTAAACCATAACGTTGAAGGCAACAGTGCTCAATCTTGTTTTCAGTTATCCATTCCAAGACTGCATGAATAATGTTGTCCTTTTAACTGCAATAAATGTCATCAAAGCAGGACCTCTGCACTGATACTTGTTTACCGCAGGGATGGCTTTAAGTACCAAAAGCATCTCCAACAGGCTAACTGTACCAAAGTGCCATTAATTAAAGGGCTGTGATTAATCAGTTCAGTACTAAAAACTTGGCAAAAATGGTCAGTATAAGCATGATAAGACAAGAGAAACAGCTTGCAGGAAGTATTGATCAGGATCCCTCTAATAACCTCTCTTGATCATTTTTTTAGAAGAAAATTCTAGCTGTCACGGTTGCGGAGATAATATTCTGAAGGTTAAGCAAAGCAAATGCAGAAATGTGTGCTTAAATGGGCAACAGCCCAAAAGAGATATTGTGATTTTCAAATTGATCTGATAAGTTCAGCTTTAAAAGATTGGTTTTGGTGGTATAATGTAACAGTAATTTGAGTAAATACATATAGGATTGCACTGCATGAAAACAAAGCATATTGATTTCATCCTCGAAGTAGAATGTTCTCCATCCATTCTAGGTAGGATTTATTTCACACTGAATGTATAAAAGCATGATCCAATTGTATTATTTATTTTGATTCATTTACTCCATTTCTATATTGGCCATATCAAGAAAAAAAATCTCAGAGTAATATATATATATAGCAAAGTTAAATGCAAAAATCAAAATAGAAAGCAGTGCAATTGCATAATGAAAAACATTTAACATAATCCCCACCGCCACAAATATTCCCTCAAACTAAGTAAAACACAGTCCAAGACTCAAACAGGAAAAACCTGGGTAAAGAGATGCTGAATATTAGAGAGGAGAACATCCCAAAGGGCATGTGCCCCCAAACCAGAGACTTGCCCAATGACAATCTGTAGGTTAATCAACAAAAATCCCCCTAATGATCTTAGCAGTTGCACAGGTCTATAGCAGTGAAGGTAAACTACAAGTACTTTTATCCCAAGATCTTAAGGGCTTCATGGGCCAGTAGTGATCTTAACCAATACATCAGATTCAACAGTAATGTAATCATGTTTAACCTAGCATTTTATTCAAACTTACCTATCCCAGTTTTTAATTTTTTTTTAATAAATTCACTTTTTTTTTAAAAGAAGTCCAAGTTAAAAAAGAACAATCCTTTTAAAGAATGCCTTTAAACACATTAGAAATCCAAGCTAGCATGCTTGTCATATAGATCAACCTTCCCTGGACTTAGTGTCCTTGAGATTTCTTGACATTAACATCCCGATTTCTCAGCAATAGCCAGATGATTAAAGTCTATCCAACTGAGTGGCCTCCAGATTGGGGAAGCTGATATACATAATGAAACTGATAGGCATAATTGACCAAAAGGAAATGCAGAACTTTCCTAATCAAGCTAAGGATGGAAACAGCTAATATATACAGATATGCTTTGTCCTAAGCAAGTCTTATGGCCCATATAGCTTAAACTTCCCTGCATTCTTTCTGCTTGGCCACAGGTGTTTGAGACAAAACTCACTTGATGTCTAAGAACAAGTGGAGGTTAATCCTGACCTTTTTCAGTATCTTTGCTTTTCAAGGTGCTGAGTAATTAGCTGTAATTACTCAGATAAAAAAGCTGTCATTTTGGAGGACACTGGGTCGCTGAAAACTGATTTAGAAAGAGTACATATATTGTATAAGTAGAGCTTCATAAAAAGGATATATGTGTGTGGTACATACACATGTGTGAATGTGAGGCATAATTTATCTAAACTGCCTTTTTGACTCTTTGGAAACAATTCTAGCCCTTGTGTTTCACACAGCATTGTGACTGAGGCAGAATCTAGCATCTTAATCTTTCTTTGAAAATAAATATGGTGATTTCATAGTTATGTAAATCAAATGAAGCTGTGTCCATTAATTTTACATTTTCAAACACTGATGCAATAATGTGCCCTTGCTTTAAAAACAAGCATTTGCATTGTGTGAAAAGATCCATCTGTACATTTGAAGCATCCACGTGGCTTTCTCTGAGCATGTTTATCAAGAAACAAATGAGAAAATAAATTATTTGTGCCATGGCTCTTCTCATTAATCTTGATTGCATCCTGCATAACCTAGTCCTCATGTTTAAGTTTTCTGTTTAACTGCAATATCAATAAAATATTACTGAAGTTTCCTTAACTTTGGTTACTCTTAAATCTTCACAAAGTAGACCTGTGGCATGAAAAATGTATAATTTCACTTTAATTGGATAACTGAACTTGTTAGCATAATTCTTCTTGGCTACCAATTTCTTGGCACAGATTACTACCAGCACCAGTTATTGTAGTTCCAACTTTTAAAATAACTTTCATGTCAGTGTATACAAACATTTGCCTACACCAGGGCAATGTCTTCCTAAATTACCCAGGTCATGCGATGCACTATTAGCTCTATTCTCATTTACCAGTCTCACCTGACTTTCTAACTGTACAACAGCATTACAGTTGCTCTTTTCTTCATTCCAGGGCATGGATTATATGGAACTTTTGAAATGTTGTCCTCCTGGAGGAAAACTAGAGAAGACCAACATGTAAAAGAGAGAACTGCAGCCGTGTTCGCAGACTCCATGCTCTCCTTTTCTCTCACCACTGCCATGTATCTGGTGACTTTTGGGATCGGTGCCAGCCCCTTCACCAACATTGAAGCAGCCAGGATCTTCTGCTGCAATTCCTGTATTGCAATTTTCTTCAACTACCTCTATATACTTTCCTTTTATGGTTCCAGCCTCGTGTTTACTGGCTACATAGAAAACAACTACCAGCATAGTATCTTCTGCCGAAAGGTACCAAAACCAGAGGTATTGCAAGAGAAACCTGCTTGGTATAGGTTTCTTCTGACAGCCAAATTTAGCGAGGACACAGCAGAGTCAGAGGAGACAAACAGTTATGAAAGCCACCTTTTGGTGTGTTTCCTCAAGCGTTATTACTGTGACTGGATAACAAACACTTACGTCAAGCCTTTTGTAGTTCTCTTTTACCTTATTTATATTTCCTTTGCCTTAATGGGCTACTTGCAGGTCAACGAAGAGTCAGACCTCAGTAACATTGTAGCAACTGCGACACGAACCATGGAGTACACTGCTGCTCAGCAGAAGTACTTCAGCAATTACAGCCCAGTCATTGGGTTTTATATTTATGAATCAATAGAATATTGGAACATGACCGTCCAAGATGACATGCTAGAGTATACCAAGGGGTTTGTAAGGATATCTTGGTTTGAGAGCTATTTGAATTATCTGAGAAAGCTCAACATATCAACTGGATTATCTAAAAAGAATTTTACAGATATGCTGAGGAACTCCTTTCTGAAAGCTCCCCAATTTGCCCACTTTTCAGAGGATATCATTTTTTCCAAAAAGTACAACAATGAAGTTGAAGTGGTGGCCTCTCGAATGTTCTTGGTGGCTAAGACCATGGATACCAAACGAGAAGAGCTCTATCATCTCCTGGAAACCTTACGGAAGCTCTCTCTCAAATCTAAGGTGAAATTCATTGTTTTCAATCCATCTTTTGTCTACATGGATCGTTATGCCTCCTATGTGGGGGCCCCCTTGCAGAACTCCTGCATTAGTGCTTTATTCCTGCTCTTCTTCTCTGCATTCCTGGTGGCAGATTCTCTCATCAATGTATGGCTCACACTCACTGTTGCCTCAGTCGAATTTGGAGTTATAGGTTTTATGACCTTGTGGAAAGTTGAGCTGGACTGTATTTCTGTGTTGTGCAATGTATGGCTCACACTCACTGTTGCCTCAGTCGAATTTGGAGTTATAGGTTTTATGACCTTGTGGAAAGTTGAGCTGGACTGTATTTCTGTGTTGTGCAATGTATGGCTCACACTCACTGTTGCCTCAGTCGAATTTGGAGTTATAGGTTTTATGACCTTGTGGAAAGTTGAGCTGGACTGTATTTCTGTGTTGTGCTTAATTTATGGGATTAATTATACAGTTGACAACTGTGCACCTCTCTTGTCAACATTTGTCCTGGGCAAAGATTTCACAAGAACTAAATGGGTAAAGAATGCCCTGGAAGTGCACGGGGTAGCTATTTTACAGAGCTACCTCTGCTACATTGTTGGTCTAATTCCTCTCGCAGCTGTGCCTTCAAATCTGACCCGTACACTGTTCAGGTGCTTGTTTTTGATAGCATTAGTCACCTTCTTTCATTGCTTTGCCATTTTACCTGTGATACTGACTTTTCTGCCACCGTCAAAGAAAAAAAGGAAAGAGAAGAAAACTCCTGAGAATCGGGAGGAAATAGAGTGCGTTGAAATGGTGGATATGGATAGTACCCGTGTGGTTGACCAAATTACAACAGTCTGACTAGTTGGTTTGTTTTGCTTTTTTAAAAAAAAAAACAATAACAACCACCACCCTAAATATTGCCAAGAGAAGAAAATCATATTGATTATAACAATGGGATTTGGATGTCTGTTTTCAAATTAAAACCAGGAGCATCCAAAGCAGTGTGTGAAGGGGAAAAAGTAACTGTTTGTAGATTGGCCTTCACATAAAAAGTACAGTGACATTTACATTCACCCAATACAATGAGAATGTCAACTTGGGTTGCTACCTGAGATAAAGATAATAGAGGTGGGTTACTAAATAGCATACTGCCGTGTCTGCCCTGCCAATGCTGCTGCCCCTGGGGCAGTGTGCCCACACATTGAAAGGTCAACTGTCAAGGCTGAAGAAGCAGTAAGTGTACATTTTGGACATAGAGGCTATATAAAACTTTCAGTACAGCAATAACTCAGTTCCATGAGTCAGCTATTATGGATCTTAGCCATTACATCTAACTTTTGTTTCTATTGCTTCTTTTTTTTTCCCTTTTTCTTTTTCTGAATGGAAACATATATGCAAGCTGTTAAACAAAAACAAACCAACAATGGCCAAGAAATTCAAATTTACGCAAGCTAAATAGAGCTATCGCTGTCAATCTAGGGTCATTTTGCAGTTGCCTTCTTTTCTGAATTAATCAATATTTTCAAGTGGTATTAATCCCCTATATATTTTAATATAACATGATTTTCTAGCATTTTTTTAAAAAGATAAACAAAATTAATAACATACACTATTCAAGTTATCTGTTATAACACCACTTTCTCAGTAGGTTTTTTTTATTATTATTTAAGGAAACCTTGCTTTCCTGATGCTAGATTTGACAGCATTCTCTAAAATGTTAGGAGATCTAATAGCAGGTTGGAAAAGGAGTATATTAAGCACTTCCTACCAAAATCCATGAAACAAGCCTCAGATGCCTAAATTTTGTCACACAAGTGTGAGTGTTGTAGAACGTCTTAAACGACAAGCCTTCATTCCAGGTTGTACACGATTAATACATGAAAAGAGGCACAGTCGCTATACAGAACGTGTAACATAAGTCACAATCTTCAACTAGAATTTCTGTCTCTAAAGTCTCCACTATAGACTATGAACCAAGAAAATCAGTTGAACACTCCAGAAGAGTGGTTTTGAACTCTTAATGCTGCAGTCTTTCTTGAGGTAATGTTTAAAGCAGCTGCTCTAATATATTAAATACAGTAGACAGTTATCCTTGCCCTCTTGAAAGGTATGAGATATGTTGCCAGAGGACAAGAAGGAATCAAACAATTAACAGTGCTGCAGTGATCTAGACCAGAAGGATCCATATACTTAAATCTCCCCCCCCCCTTTGGTATGTTTACTTGGTGTATCCCTGGTATTTGCTAAAAATAGTATTGCATCTGTGATATGGAAAAATACAGAATCTGCTTGTTGTACTGACACCTCATAAATTCTAGGAATTTTCAACTGACATTAGCAACCTGTTGTGGCTTTAACTGCTGGGCATGATATTAGAGCCATAGTAAGCAGCATCTGTATTGAGCAGGTGGAACAGAGCAGACCATTTCCATTTCTCAAAGTTCCTTCTCAGTAGGCAGAACCACAGTGGCACTAGTCAATCACTGCTCCAGATCTGGTACCACGGGCCTCTCAGAGTTCTGCTTTCTCTCACTATTTGCCCGGAAAAAGCTTGCAAAGTTGAAGCAGAATCGTGCAGTGGCAATCAATGAATGCTGCTGCTGATTCAGCACAAAACCATGGATTTGTGCCAAAACCAAATTACAGTACTTGTTTTTATCTTTACATTGGCACTATACATTTATGCCAAATCCTCCATACCATTTCAGAAAATAAGGTTGGCATGTTAATAGAACAGCTGAGGAACTAAACTGGTTAGCCTCTATAAATTATTTCCCAATAGTATTTTCACTAGAAGGAAAAAAAAAAAACTGGAATGAGCTTTTGTGTTCTGATACTATATTAGCAGTGCTCCATTCAGACACCTTATAAAAGGTATAAAAGGTATAGAACTTGAAAAGCTTGTAATTCAAACACATTTGAATTTTTCTAAATCACAGGTATTTCTAGCAGGTTAGGGTTTGGACAGATAAGCACACTGAATCATTTGCCAGAACAAAATAGTGGGTAGTAAATCTGTTTTGTTCATTTTCAGATATGCATCTTAGCCTTTCTTATTCCATTGCTCTAATAAAAGAGCTTCTTGCCAAACCTTATTTCTTCCCAATATGAGAACCGCCACACCATTCTCCCCACTCCCAGCGCCCAGGCTGGCAAGCCGCTACATACACAAAACATCTGTAAAATAGGCAGTAGCTAATGCCATGTAAATTGTTTTGAGAAATCTCTTGAAATTCGCAATTACCAAAACTAGATGTATTTTTGAGAGTATAAACTAGTTGAAGGAATTTAATCCTTTGTTCCCCAAATGGTAAATTCAAGTCCAATGATATCTAGGACTTCATCTTCTTTTAGAGCAAATTTAAATTAATGCATATTGGCTTCATGTATAATGTGATTCTTTTTCCTTTCCTTACTACACATTAGGCTTTGGTAAAATCTTATGTCCACAAATTTGTAAACTTATATGAATTATGTTTTTAAAAAAATGTTCAGTTATATTTTTCAGATGTGTTCTTGTTTATAAATCATTCCTAAACTGAATGATAAAAGTACTTTAAATTTGGCTGCCATATTTAGACTGTAAAGATGTGCGCAATTTAACTCTCCTTATTTAATGGGACTTTTACAGCACTGCTGGATTGTGGCCACAAAGTTTAGGTTATATATGGTAATTGATTACATTTTTCCAATACACCCACTGAAGCCCAAGTATTACAAGGCACTTACAGTGTTTTTATGTTTACTGAAATATAATTCATTTAGCTAAATAACTCACTGGTCAGAGCAATTTTTTTTATTATTTTTTTTTTACTCTGGAAGGAAAAAATAAACCTACTTTTCTCTGTCCAGCAAGTTAATTCACACAAGTCTGCCTGGAGATATTGTTTCTTCTAGTGGCTAGTTCCCAAGCAAGCTGAGTCTAGAGTGAAATGAAAGAACAACTGAAGTCACTGGAACAATTTCACTATAAATGATCCATATCTAAAATACATGCCCAGCATTTTATTGAAAGCAGTACAAATCAGAAGAACATGAAAGCTGTGAAACTAGAAGAAAAGCTCTCTGGCAAAGACAAATGGATGTCTTTTTCCAAATCCCAACTGCTTTACTAAATGAGACAAGACCTGTAAAAGCTTAAAGGTATTTCGAAGAGGCTAACGTTACAGTGAAGTGTGCCAAATTCTATTTGTACCCTGGGAGGCTCTATAAGGCAGGACTATTTCTGGTGCCACTGGATTATTCTTCTGCACAGCCTACATTTATTCTTTTGCTAAGGGTGTCTCCCTGCCCCGGTCAATCAAGTAATGGTACCGTTAGAAAAGTCACAAAACCATGTTTGCTTTATCTGGAAATTTTGGAAATGTCACCATTTGCTGTGAAAACCCATCTCCATATAACAAAAGAGAAAACCAAGAGCTAACCATTTTATAGGCTGTATCCTGAAAGTCATAATATACTCATTTTCATTTTTTAAAAAATGCTTTCTGTAGCCCATATAGGGTTTACTGTAAGCATCTGCTACAACTGAAATGCTCCATGTATCTATTAATGAGTGTTTGAAGATCATGAGATTGTTGCTGTGATATGGAAAAGTGACTGCCAAAAATACCACATGAGAACATTAGGGTATAGCTGCATTATTTGGGTTTCAGTGGCATCAATCTGATGCAGCTTACATCCTGGCTAAACTGATTTTTCATCCAATAATAAACTTCCTGATTTCTCTGCACAAATCAAATAAATAAAAACACAAATATAATAACCGTAGATGTCAGGGTAACTTTTGGGCCTCTGACACAGACATCAACAACACATCCCCTAACCCCCTTTTTTTTTTTTTAATTAAGGGTCTTTCTAAGTAAAAAGTCTATGTCAAAGCCAGCCCTGCCATTGTCAAAGTAAGGCAGCAACTTCATGCAACAAATCCTAGAAAAATGGAAATGGGAGTGAGAATGGAACATGCTTTACAGCCTGCCCTGGCCCTTCTAGCTAGCTCTGTCCACAGGTGAAGTGGAAGATGTGCTCCTGTTCCAAGTGGCAAAGTAAGATATCTGCAACTGACAGTCCAGTCTACTGCTGTAAGTAGAAATGCTGAAGTTGAGCTGTCTGAAATTAGCTCTGAACTCCAGAGCAAGGGGGTCACTTCCAAGACTGCATGATATGTAATCCTCTCAACTACTAGGAGTGTAACTCCTGCAGACTCACTCCTCCTCCCATCCATCTAGCTGTTTAGGAACAAAAGAGCTGAAGCAAAGAGCTTGATTTTTTTCAAAATTATCTCCCCCATCACTACTCCAGACTTAAGTATCAAGAGTGCAGACTCAAACAGGGTTCGGACATTGCACTAAACTGTAATGCAGTTTATTTGATTTTCACTTAGCATTTTACAAAGATCCAACTGTTATGATTTATTAAATCAAGTGTAAGGCTTAATGTATTGTGCAAACCCAGCAATATGTGGTTTATTCAATGAACCCTAGGTAAAATATGGCTTAGAGCAATATATGGTCTCAGCTATGGAATCTCCCAGAGCTCCAGCCCAGATAATTGAGAGTCCCCAAGAACTTTCAAGCTGTGGCTAGGAATGTTATGGAGGAAGCTGTAAGTTTTAACACTTCCAGTCACAACTGCAGAAATGCAGTTAACTGCAGTTAACTGTTTCTTGCATGAAGCAAGTCCCCATGAGCTTAGCCACTGGCAGTACTGCATGATGAACACAGTTGGAAAGGGTGCTGATCTGGGCGTGGGGCAGAACTGCCAATCAAAATGGCAAAGGATCTTTTATTCCAGCGGGAGGAAGGAACTGGGGAAAAAGGGATTGGGAGGTGTAGACGGAAGGACAGCTCTGGTGGACG